GGGAAGCCACATCCCCAGGCGTCTTCCTCCCTCTTCCCTCTCTCCTTATCTCTGCATCTCAGTCTCTGTCTTTTTTTCTTCAAGGCTCCCAATCTTCCGTTTATCCATTCGAAGTACAGTCAGGAAGCTGAAGGATTTAGGCTGAAATGCAAGGTGGAAGAGAGGTTTGCCCCCTACTTAGGACTCAGAGCTGCTTGTGGGGACCATGGCGTCACACTCTCCTCCTGGGCCTCATGTCTTCAGTTTCTTTCTTTTTTTCATTGTGTTGTTGTTTTTTTTTAGACAGAGCCTCACTCTGTCTCCCAGGCTAGAGTGCAGTGGTGTGATCTTGACTCACTGCAACCTCCACCTCCCAGGTTCAAGCAGATTCTCCTGCTTCAGCCTCCTGAAATGCTGGGATTAACAGGGCACAACCAAACTCATCCCACGCCTGGCTAATTTTTGTATTTTTAGTAGAGCAGCGTGTTTCACCATGTTGGCCATGGCTGGGTCTTTGGAACTCCTGACCTCAGGTAGTCACTTGCCTCAGCCTCCCCAAAAGTGCTTAGATTTTACACGGCAATGAGCCACCTGCACCTGCTTTGTCCTTTCCAGTTCTTAACGCTTCTAGTCCACCTCCTTGTTCAGAACACCTTTACTTTGACATCCCCTGGGGTGACGCCCAAGGTCACAAATGGCACTCTTTGTGCTTCACGGTTCATTCCAACCACATTTACCAGCCATGCCTGAATTTCTCACCATTCCCTCAATTCTTTTTCTTTTTTTTTTTTTTGAGCCGGATCTCGCTGCTGCCCAGGTGTGAGTGGCAGTGGGCCGACTCAGCTCACTTTGCAAGCCTCCGCCTCCTGGGTTACGCCATTCCTCCGGCCTCAAGCCTCCCGGTAGCTGGACTACAGTGGCGCCCGCCACCCTCGCCCGGTAGTTTTGTATTTTTCTAGTAGAGACGGGGTTCACCGTCGTTAGCCTAGGATGTCTCGATCTCCTGACCTCGTGATCCGCCCGTCTCGGCCTCCCAAAGTGCTGGGATTACAGGCTTGAGCCACCGCGCCCGGCCGACCATTCCTCAATTCTTTGTACATGCTGTTCCATCTGCCTAGAATGCTTTTCCCTGTTCTCTACTTAGACAAAGGGATATTGGCAGGACATGAAGGAGATGCTTTAGCTGTAGTGATTTTATCCTCTCACCCTTTTCTTGAAGGAAGGGGTTAGACAGAATCCTGTTGATCCACTGACCTCTGATCTTTCCTTCCCCAGGCTGTGCCAAGACCTTGTACCACTCGGTCCATGAAAAGATCTTCACACTTCCAGGCGACTGTCTGATCTACCCTGCTCATGATTACCATGGTGAGGGCTTCCTGGAGGAGCTGGAATTACAGACCCATGCCTGTAATCCCAGCTGTTCGGGAGGTTGAGGCAGGAGAATTGCTTGAACCTGGGAGGTGGAGGTTGCAGTGAGCCAAGATCACACCACTGCACTCCAGCCTGGGAGACAGAGGGAGGCTCTGTCTCAAAAAAAAAAAAAAAAAAAAAAACTTTGAAAGGGGAGTGTAAATCTCTGTAATCCTTGTAGGGCATGAAGACTACCAGTCTCAGAAATTTCTCTGGGCAAAAAAAATTAAGTGTTTGAGGCTGGGCAAGGGGGCTCACACCTGTAATCCTAGCACTTTGGGAGGCTGAGGCAGGAGGCTCGTTTGAGCCCAGGAGTGAGTTCGAGACCAGCCTGAGTAACATGGCAAAACTCTGCCTCTACAAAATACAAAAAATTAGCCAGGCAAGGTGGCATGCTGCCAGCTACTTGAGGGGCTGTGGTAGGAGGATTGCTTGAGCCCAGGAGGTTGAGGCTGCAGTGAGCTATGATCATACCACTATATTCCAGCCTGGGTGATATAGCAAGACCCTGTCTCAAAAAAAAAAAAAAAAAAAAAGATAAAAGTGCTTGAGCCTGCTGTGTGTGGATGTAGAAACTATGTGACTGCCAGATGCCTGGAATTCTGCAGGGCATGGATTTTCCTGGGCCGGCCTTGTGGAGCTTAGGGAACTGGGGAAAACTACATTTCCCATAGTTCCCATGGAGGAGGGAAAGCTATTTTAGGAATATTCTGGGACGAACCCCTGCCAGAGAGGCACCCAAAGCCTCCTAGGGAATGTAGTTCTGAGAGGCCTGAGGCACTGGACTCCTTGACTTTCCTTCCCCTCCCTTGGCCACTAGGGTTCACAGTGTCCACCGTGGAGGAGGAGAGGACTCTGAACCCTCGGCTCACCCGCAGCTGTGAGGAGTTTGTCAAAATCATGGACAACCTGAACTTGCCTAAACCTCAGCAGATAGGTGAGCAGCTGGGGACCTGGGCTCCTGGGTATGAGAGAGGAGGGACTGGGAGCTTGGACTCCCGGATCTGAGGGAGGAGGGGCTGGGGGCCCGGGTCTGAGGGAGGAGGGGCTGGGGGCCCGGGTCTGAGGGAGGAGGGGCTGGGGGCCTGGACTCCAGGGTCTGAGAGAGGAGGGGGTGGGGGCCTGGACTCCTGGGTCTGAGGGAGGAGGGGCTGGGGGCCTGGACTCCTGGGTCTGAGGGAGGAGGGGCTGGGGGCCTGGACTCCTGGGTGGGGCTGGGGGCCTGGACTCCAGGGTCTGAGAGAGGAGGGGGTGGGGGCCTGGACTCCTGGGTCTGAGGGAGGAGGGGCTGGGGGCCTGGACTCCTGGGTCTGAGGGAGGAGGGGCTGGGGGCCTGGACTCCTGGGTCTGAGGGAAGGAGTGGGCTCAGGACCAAAACTCTAGTTCCCCGAAGAGGAAAGGTTCCTAGGATTTCTGGGTCTCCAGTGGGGCCTGGAGCTCTGCCTAGGCCCCTTAGTTTTAACCTTGATTTCTTCTTTTCAGACTTTGCTGTTCCAGCCAACATGCGCTGTGGGGTGCAGACACCGCCCCCTGCCTGATCTCACTTCTGTCAGATGCTCCCATCCAGTATTAATGCACTAGAGGGGAGGAGAGGGCCGCGTCCACACTGCACCTCTCCTTTCCCACCCCATGCCCGAACCCCAGCCCCTGGAGCTTCCTAAATAAAACTTTTAACATGAGTCTGACGTCTACCTATTTTCTAGGGGAACCAATTGGGTTTCTGGGCCGCAAGGGGTGGAGTTCTGGTTCTGTGGAGAGGCCAGGAGGTCCGGGGAGCCTGCAAGATTGTTTTTTTTTTTGAGATGGAGTCTCCCTCTGTTGCCCAGGCTGGAGTGCGGTAGCATGATCTTGGCTCACTGCAACCTCTGCCTCCCAGGTTCAAGCGATTTTCCTTCCTCAGCCTCCTGAGTAGCTGGGACTACAGGCACGTGCCACCACACTCGGCTAATTTTTTTGTATTTTTAGTAGAGACAAGGTTTCACTGTGTTAGCCAGTATGATCTTGATCTCCTGATCTCGTGATCCGCCTGCCTCGGCCTCTCAAAGTGCTGGGATTACAGGCGTGAGCCACCACGCCCGGCCTGGGAGCCCACAAGATTTCTAACTCACAAGATCAAAAACAAACAGATATCTGGGGCAGATCTTCTCATCACCTTGGATTAGAATACCGGCTTGCTTTTGAGCCACTTCCCACTTAGCCCTGGGGTAAGGTACTTCACTTCTCTAGGCCTCAGTTTTCTTATCTGTAAAATGGAAGGAATAATCATAGGGTGTTGTGATGCTCTGATGAGTCAATGTGTGAGTGCCTGGCACGTGGCCTATCAGTGTTCACCATTAAAGTTATTATCATTTAGAATGATCTTTCGGGTACTTCCTGGCTTGAAGTGACAGTATACACAATGGTTAAGAACATGGACTTTTGAGAGAATGAAGCCTGCATTTTACCGCTTGTAACACATGTAGATCTTGCCTACATTTTTTGTTGTTGTTGTTGTGAGATGGAGTCTTACTCTGTTGCCCAGGCTGGAGTGCAGTGGCACATTCAAGACTCACTGCAGTCCCGACCTCCTGGGCTCAAGAGATCCTCCTGCCTCAGCCTTTGCAGTAGCTGAGATGACAGGTGTGTGCCACCACGTGTGGCATAATTTTTGTATTTTTAGTAGAGATAGGGTTTCTCCATGTTGCCCAGGCTGGCCTTGAACTCCTGGTCTCAAGTAATCCACGTGCCTCGGCTTCCCAAAGTGCTGGGATTACAGGCCTGAGCCTCTGTGCCCAGCCAACCTTGGGTGCATTTGTCCTCCTCAGCTTGTATCCCCAAGTATAAAATGAAGGTAGTAGGCCAGGCTCGGTGGCTCACGCCTGTAATCTCAACACTTTGGGAGGCCGAGGCAGGCAGGTTGTTTGAGCCGAGGAGTTCAAGAACAGTCTGGGCAACCTGGAGAAACCCAGTGTCTACTAAAAAAAAGAAATGGAGGTAGTAATGACTTTCTCACTGGGCAGCTTTGAGGGTGAAATTAAATGACCGAGTATAAAGTGTTTAGCACAGCTCTTGACTTCTAATCATCCCTTTTCATATACCAGTTATTTTCCTGTTTTTGCCCAGAGAGGAAAGGGTCTGGCTGAGACCTTTAACCTCCGCCCTCCACCCCGTAGCAAAGTGTTGGGGGGTGGCGGTACACTTCCCTCAGTCTCTTGGCAGGTCTCTGACTCAGTTCAGGGCACCCCTTCCCCTTGTCCAGCTCCCCAAACCGGTCAGGGCCCTTCTGAAGGGCTCATTAGAGGGGAGACGTCCCCATCTCCATTCCTGCCTTCCTTTCTGAACTCCCAGGGTCTGGACATTAGAGAGGTGCCCATACAGCGGTGGCCAAGACTCCTCCAGTGGGGCAGGAATGAGGGGATCGAGGGAGACTGGGAGGTCGAGATGCTGAGTTCCACGAGGGTGGGGCCGGTGGGGCCGGGATGGCCGGATGCCGAAGCCGCGGGTGGGGCAAGCCCGTGGCTCCCTCCTCCCTCGGGAGCTGTTGGACCTGTTGTCCCCCCCTCCACTTCCGGGCTGCTGGGGAGGGGGACGGGGCGGCCTCTCTCCTCCCTCTTCCCCTGCCACCTGTCTCATAGGCAGAAGCGGCTGTGCCCAGCGCGCAGAGCGGAGCGCGCCGAAGCCTGAGCTGGTGAGGGGGCCGAGGCTGTGGGGAGGTGGCGGTTGGACTTCGGAATCTCAAGGACTCCGACTCCTGGCTTGTTCAGAGAAGGGCATCCTGGGAGCCCCGACTCCTGGACCCCTGGGTGAGGCGGCATGGGCGCTGTTGCCCTGCACAGTGGGGTCAGGACTAAGACTACGGGGCTCTGGGAAGGACGGGGCGGGAGCCGAACTGCTGAGTCTCGGAGGGAGAAGATGGGTCGCCCTACGCGAGTCCAAGGGATTGTGAGGGGCCGCTGGGAGGGTACGAGGCCTGACACTTGGAGATGAAAGAGGGGAGGCGGGGTCGAAGAGGCCAGTAGGGGGCGAGCTGCGACCCGGACTCAAATTCCGGTCCCGTCTCCGGGGGCGTGTCGCTTTGGAACCATCGAGCCCCGCCTCTGGAAACTTAAGGACACGCCTCCGTAACGCTCAGTTCAATCCTTTGAACTCTTAGGCCCCGCCTCCTGGGGGGGTCTCCGCGCCCTGGAGCAGACGCGAGAGGCGCTCAGCCCTCCTAGGCCCCGCCCCCGGAGCGCCTGGTCCCGCCCACCCCGCAGGAGCCCGAGCGGCCATGGGGACGCGGAGCAGCCCCGCCGAAGGGACCCCGCCGCCGCCGGTCCCGGAATGCGACGTGGAGGTCCAGCCCCAGGGCTATCCCGAGGAGTCCCGGGAACAGGAGGCTCCCAAGGTACTGGCGGAACCTTCGAGCTGCGGAGGAGCTGAGAAGCAGGGGGAGGAAGAAGAAGAAGTGGGAGAAGGCAGCAGCACTGAGAGCAGCCGCGACGCGGTGAGGGGCCCGAGGGCATCAGCGCGGGGGGCCTGGACCGACGGGGACTCAAGCAGGTGGCCGGACAGGTAGACAGGTAGAGGAAAACCAGAAAGACACAGACTCGGAGACAGGGAGCGAGACCCAGTGATAACAGAGACTACTGAGAGACAGACACCAGGACACGCAGCCAGAGAGGCAGAGACACAGACAGACAGAAACCAGATACATAACCAGATAGACAGAGCCACGGGGAGGCCCCAAGAACGGAGACAAGACCCAAACGGGCGACAGAGACAGAGAGACGGGTATAGAGGAACCAGATAGGTGGCTCACGCCTGTAATCCCAGCACTTGGGGAGGCCAAGGGGAGGATCGCTTAAGCCCAGGAGTTCGAGACAAATCTGGGGAACATAGCAAATCCCCGTCTCTAGAAAAAAATAGGAAATTGTCCAAGCGCGGTGCCGCGTGCCTGTAATCCCACTTGCTCGGGAGGCTGAGGCAGGAGGATCGCTTGAACCCAGGAGTTGTAGGCTGCGGTGAACTATGATTGCGCCACTGCACCCCAGCCTGGGACAGAGCAGAACCTATCTCTAAACATGAGAGAGAGAGAGAGAGAGAGAGAGAGAGAGACAGAAACAGAGAGAGAGAAAGAAAGAGAGAGAGAGACAAAGAAAGAGAGACAAAGAAAGAGAGAGAAAGAGAGAGAGAGAGAGACCAGATAGACAGAGACTCAGAGACAGAGGGATCCAGACCCAGGAGAGACTACTGAACAGAGAGAACCAAATGAGTAAGAGATGCAGAGAGATCAAGAACCAGACAGAGACCCAGAGACACGGAGACTGAGAGACAAAGACCCAAAAAAGACAGAGACACAGTGAGACTAGAGACAGAGAGTCAGAGAGAGGGGAATCGAGACAGAGGGAAACCCAGAAATAAACGGCAGAGATGCTCAGAGAAACAAATAGAGAAAAACCTCGAGAGAGGGACATACTCCGAGGGAGAAACATCTAGTGATTCAGAGGCAGTGGACAGATACCGAATCTGAGAGACTGGGGTCGGGTGGAGAGAGAGAGAGATAGATCCAGGCACTACGAGAAAGTGACGCCAAGAGAATAGGACCTGGATAGAGAAAAAGAAACACCTTTCATAAGTCGGCTTTACATCCGCCCACCCTCCGTACGGTACTGCAAGCCTCTGTGGTCCGTGTGGTTGGGTGGTCACTGGACTTGCACCCTCCCCCACTCCGACCTTGAATACAGGAGGCTGAGGCGGGGCGCGGTGGCTCACGCCTGTAGTCGTAGCACTTTGGGAGGCCGAGGTGGGAGAATCGCTTGAACCTAGGAGTTCGAGACCAGCCTGGGCAACATAGCATGACCCCCTCTCTACCAAAAAATTAAAATAAATAAATAAATAAATAAAAGAGGTTGGGGTGGTAGTGCGCGCCTGTAGTCACAGCTACCTAGGAGGCTGAGGCAGAAGGATTCCTTGAGCCCGGGAGGTCGATGCTGCAGTGAGCCGTAATCGCGCCACTGCACTCCAGCCAGTGAGACCCTATCTCAGGACAAAAAAAAAAAAAAAGAAAAGAAAGAAAGAAAAGAGCCTGCGACAGATTGTGGGAGTGGTGGTTGTGTTAGGTAAGTGGACTGAGACCCGCAGAGGGGGATGTTGGGTGGGGACCAGATCTACTTAGTGATTGCAGGGGGCGAGGCATCTCCACTTAACCACGCCCCCTCAACTTTAGCCCGAGGCTACGCCTCCGACAGCGACTGCGTCCATACCCGCCTCATCCACCTCTTCGGGGGGAGGGGTGCGAGGGGCGGCGCGGCGCCTGCGAGGACAGCAACTGGAGGCATTGACTCGCGTGGCCCTGATGGAGCAGCGAGTGAAGGAGCTACAACGCCAGAGGAAGGAGCTGAGGATCGAGGTGAGGCTGCGGACCCCTTGGGAAGCCTGGCCCCAACTCAAGGGGAACCCTCAAAGCCGGACTCCCAGCCTTTTCCTCCGGTGGGATCAGATTCTAGGCCCTCCGCTCTTCCTCCCTCCAAGTTCAGGTCCCTGGAGTCCATCCTTCCTTCGAATCCAGTAGTTAAGGCCCTGGGCCTCTTCCTTGGACCTAGGCGTCCGAGCCCCCAGCCCTGGCATTCTCTCCGCAGATGGAGGTGGAAGTGGCCTTGCTGCGGGGTGAGCTGGCTGGGGAGCGAGTGGCCGCTCGCCGGGAGGAGGAGCAGCTGCGGGAGCTGCTGGGGCAGCAGGCGGCCTCGGAGCAGCGCGGCCGCCAGCAGCGGGAACAGGTCTGTTTGGCTCACAGGGTCTTCAGCAGCAGCGTCCTTCCTGGTCCATGGATGTTGGTGTGCTCCTAGCCACCTGCGCCCCGGGGTTGTCCCCATTCCCCAAAGGAAGACATTTGGGCTTCCGAGAGAGTGAGGGGCAGATGCCCCTCCTGGTTTTCCTCCTCCCTCCCTGGGCGTGATTTTTGGGGCTCTTCCTTCGTCCCCTGTCCGTTTGCTATTTAAATGTGGGTGTGTGAAAAATTCCAAACCGACCGGAAGCGGAGGCTCACGCCTGTAATCATAGCACTTTGGGAGGCCAAGGCGGGCTGATTGCCTGAGTTCAGGAGTTCGAGACCAGCCTGGGCAACATGGCGAAACCCCGTCTCTGCTTAAAAATACAAAAATTAGCAGGGCGTGGTGGCGGGTGCCTGTAGTCCCAGCTACTTGGGAGGCTGAGGCAGAAGAATCCCTTGAATCCGGGAGATGGAGATTGCAGTGAACCAAAATTGCACCATTGCACTCCAGCAGCCTGGGCAACGAGAACGAGACTCCGTCTCAAAAAAGAAAAGAAAGAAAAAGAAAACTTCCAAACCCCCAATAGTCAGGCAGCTCCCATGTCCTGTGCCCACCAGCTTCAGCAATGATTAATATTCTTACATTCTCCTTTCATTATCTCCCATTTGTTTCCATCCCCAGTTTTAAAAGCCAATTCCAGACATCATGTGGCCTGTACATATGTTTACAGTGTATCAGTGACAGATAAGAAATCCTTTTTGGCTAGGCAAGGTGGCTCACACCTGTAATCCCAGTACTTGGGAGATGGCGGGGCACGGTGGGAGGATCGCTTGAGCCCAAGACTGTGAGACCAGCCTGGCAACATAATGAGACAGTGTTTCTGTGAAAAATAAAAATACAATTAACCAGGCATGGTGGCATGTGCCTGTGGCCTCAGACTCAGAAGAGTGAGGTGGGAAGATCAATTGAGCCCAGAAGGTAGAGGCCGCAGTGAGCTGTGATCACAACACTGCACTCCAACCTGGATGACAGAGCAAGACCGTGTCTCCAAAAAAAAAAAAAAAAAAAACAACTAATAAGTTCTTAGTATTGTCTTATTTCTGGTTAGTTTTTGTGTTTCCCAGAGTCTCAAAATGCCAGTTAACAGGTAGCTTGTTTGAATGAAGTCCCCAAAGGTCAGTGTGATTGGTTGATATGTCTTCCCTGTTGTTTTATCTCTGGTGGTTCCCACCCACTGTGTCTTCCCCATACTGTTTATTAGAAAAACCCAGTCTTCTGTCCCACAGGCAGAGCATGGCCAATTGCATGCCTGTGGTGCCCTTGATGCCTCTGTTTCTGCAAGCAAGTGTTGGTTAGAGGGAGAAGTTTGATCATATTCAGAAGTGCTTTAGTGCTTCCTGAGCCGGTGTCAGGAACCTCATCTCTGGTTGTCCAGACCTCATGAGGTCACCCTGGTCTCTCTCTCTTTTTTTTTTTCGTGAGATAGAGTTTCGCTCTTGTCACCCAGGCTGGAGTACAATGGCGTGATCTTGGCTCATCGCAACCGCCGCCTCCCAGGTTCAAGCGATTCCCCTGCCTCAGCCTCCCCAGTAGCTGGGATTACAGGCATGCGCCACCATGTCTGGCTAATTTTGTATTTTTAGTAGAGATGGGGTTTCTCCATGTTGGTCAGGCTGGTCTCGAACTCTTGACCTCAGGTGATCTGCCTGCCTTGGCCTCCCAAAGTGCTGGGATTACAGGCATGAGCCACTGCAGTTCAAGGCCATCCTGACCAACATGATGAAACCCCATCTCTACTAAAAATACAAAAAATTAGCCAGGTGTGGTGGTAGGCACCTGTAATCCCAGCTATTTGGGAGGCTGAGGCAGGAGAATCGCTTGAACCTGGGAGGTGGAGGTTGCAGCTCCCAGGAGCCGAGATCACACCACTGCCCTCCAGCCTGGGCAACAAGAGCAAAACTCCATCTCAAAAAAAAAAACTTCTATCTGAAGATTGTAACATCATCAGCGGTCATTACTTGGATTGGTTACCATTATAGGTTGGCAAATGGTGACTTATGATTTTGTCAGTTTTTTATTTGCAAGTGTTGTGCATGTTGGAATTTTCTGAGGCTGGGTCCTGGGCCCTCATTTATCCTCAAAGATCACGTATTTTTCCCAGGCCTTCTCTCCAAAGAGAGAAATGTACCCTTCTTCCTAGGGTACTGGCTACTAGGTACTCCTTTCTCACCCAGATCCAGAAATCTCAGTTGCAGCCCCTCCTCCCTCTGTCCCAGGAGTCCAGGCCCCCAGCTCCTCCTCCCTCAAACCCAGGAGTCCAGATCCCCAGCTCCTCCTTCCTTAGATCCAGGAATCCAGGCCCCAGCCCCTCCTCCCTCTGACCCAGGAGTCTGGCTGCTTCTCATTCACCATATCCAAAGCTGACCTCAGCAACTCCCTTCTCCACACTGTTTGTCTTGCTGTCCCTTTGGTCACCAGGCCAGAGTGCTGGACTTTGCCCTGCACACTTCCCTATCTCTCACCTCCAAGCCCATCAGCCACCATGTCCTTTCGTTTCTGCTTCCTTATCTTCTCTGTCTAGTCCATCTATTTTTCAGCCCTACCACCCAGGCCCCAGCTTAGGTCTCACCCTCACTGCTTGGAGGACTCCCGAGGGAGCTGCTCTCCACCTCTCTAACCCACCTCCCTGAGGGATGATTCCTAGTTCCTACTCCATCCTTTCAGTCCTTCTGAGGTTCCCCATATCCCCAGGTTGACCAAACCCCCCGTGAGCTGGACGAGCTGGCCTTCCCACTATCCTCTCCCACCACATTCTTCCCACCATGTTCTTCCCACCACCACATCCTCTTCTTCCCTGGCTGGAGTTTGTCCCCCAGACTTCTTGTACTTTTCAACTTTCATGCATTTGTGCCAAGCCGTTTCCTCTGCCCAAAATGCTCTTCTAGCTCCTTTTATTTTCCCAGATCCAAATGCTCCCTGATTGTTTTGTTTTATTTCATTTTTGAGACAGGGTCTCAGTCTATCGCCCAGGCTGGAGTGCAGGCTGCAGCCTCAACCTTTGGCTGACATTGTTCCTCATTCTAGGTTCCCACAGTCTCTGGATTTTACTGCCCCGATCTTTCCAACTAGCTGTGTTCCCACCTGGAGGGCAGGGCCCAGATACAATCCACTTCTGCATCCACCGTATCACATAGCAAGAATATGTTTTGCATTCATTTCTTTTCTCTCTTTCTTTTTCCCTTCCTTCCTTCCCCTCCTTTCTCTCTTTCTTTTCTTTCTCTCTCCTTTCTTTCTTTCTCACTTTCTTTCTTTTTTTTTTTGAGATGGAGTCTCGCTCTGTTGCCCAGGCTGGAGTGCAGTGGCACGATCTTGGCTCACTGCAAGCTCCGCCTCCTGGGTTCACACCATTCTCCTGCCTCAGCCTCCGGAGTAGCTGGGACTACAGGCGCCCACCACCACTCCCCGCTAATTTTTTGTATTTTTTGTAGAGACGGGGTTTCACCGTGTTAGCCAGGATGGTCTCGATATCCTGACCTTGTGATCCGCCCGCCTCGGCCTCCCAGAGTGCTGGGATTACAGGCGTGAACCACCGCGCCTGGCCTCTCTCTTTCCTTCCCTTTCCTTCTCCTTCCTTCCTTCCTTCCCTCCCTCCCCTCCCTCCCTCCTTCCCTCCTTCCTTCCTTTTTCTTTCTCCTCCTTTCCTTTCTTTTTCTTTCTTTTTCTCTTCCTTCTCTTCTCTTCTTTCTCTTCTCTTCTGAGACAGGGTCTCCCTCTGTCACCCAGACTGGAACAGTGATGCAAACATAGCTCCCTGCAGCCTCAATCTCCCTGGCTCCAGGAATCCTCCCACCTCAGCCTCCTGAGTAGCTGGAACTACAGGCATGCACTAACACACTCCACTAATTTTTTTGTTTTTTGTAGAGATGGGCTCCCCCTATGTTGCCCAGGCTAATCTCAAACACCTGGGCTCAAGAGAGCTTCCTGCCTTGGCCTCCCAAAGCGCTAGGATTACAGGTGTGAGCCACCACACCTGGCCTCATTCATTTCTTTAAAATCTTGGCTCTGACTGTGAGGCAGGCCTGCATAGGAGTGAATCACATAGATGAAGTCCCTGCCTTTGTAAAGCTGACACCCCAGGCAGGCTCTGAGATGTGGCTGGCCGCTACTTCCCCCTCTACGCTCAAGCTGAGGCTGAGAACCTGGTTGTTCTTTCAGGAACAGAGGCGGCTGAGCCAGGAACGGGATCGCCTAGAGGGTCTTCGCCAGAGACTCCGGGAGGCCCAGGGACAGCTCGACTCCCAGCCAGAGGACCAGCGCGAGCGGCTTCTGCAGCGTGTGCAGGAGGTAATGGCCCTCTGGTTCTATCTTTTTTGTTTTTGAGACAGAGTCTTGCCCCATTGCCCAGGCTGGAGTGCAGTGGTGCGATCTCGGCTCACTGCAACCTCCGCCTTCCAGGTTCAAGCGATTCTCCCAACTCAGCCTCTCGTGTAGCTGGGACTACAGGTGCGCACCACCACACCCGGCTAATTTTTGGAATTTTAGTAGAGACAGGGTTTCACTGTGTTGGCCAGGCTGGTCTCGAACTCCTGACAGGTGATCCACCTGCCTCAGCCTTCCAGAGTGCTGGGATTACAGGTGTGAGCCACTGTGCCCAGCTGGCCCTCTGGTTTTTAGCCCCCTCCTCCCCCAGGACCCAGGAATCCGGGTCTTCAGTCACCTTATTCCTCTGACCAGGAGTCCCAGCCCCAGCACCCTACTCCCCGGGGCGCTAGGGATCCAGACCTCCAGCCTTTTTGTGTTCCGACCTATAGATGAGGGAACAACTGGATGTGGCCCAACGCGCCTATGAGGACCTGGAGTTCCAGCAACTGGAGCGGGAGAGCCGGCAGGAGGAGGAGGATCGGGACAGCCCTGGGCCCCAGGCGCCAGACCCCAAGGTCCAGGAACTTCAGGCCAGCACGGCGCAGCACAGAGTGAGTCATGCCCCACCAGCGCTGCCCCCTTTGCTGCTCCTCTCTGTCTCCCCTGCTCTGTGTCTGCCTTTTTCTCTGTCCTCGTTTCCTACCTGTCATGTTCTTCTGAATAGTAACAACAGGAGCTGGTACTGATGAAACATTTACTATGTGCCAGATATGGTCCTGAATGTTTCATGAGCATTTCCTCATTGAATCCTTACAACAAACCTATTGAGGCAAGTCCTATTACGTTGTTTTTTTTTTTCCATGTTATAAATAAAGAAGCTGAAGGTCAAGATGCTTAAGTAATCTTTTCAAAGTTTCTTTAGTAAGGGATAGAGCCAGGAGTTTTTTATTTTTATTTTTTGAGATTGGGTCTCACTCTCTCTCCCAGGCTGGAGTGCAGTGACACGTTCACAGCTCACTGCAGCCTCGACCTCCTGTGCTTAAGCGATCCTCCCACCTCAGCTTCTCGAGTAGCTGGGACCACAGGTACGAGCCCCCACACCTGGATAAGTTTTGTATTTTTAGTAGAGATGGGGTTTCACCTGGTCTCAAACTCTTGGGCTTAAGCAATCCTCCCACCTTGGCCTCTCAAGGTGCTGGGATTACAGGCATGAGCCACCGTGCCTCGCCACAGCCAGGATTTGAACAAACTTGGTATTCACCACCACATTCTTTGCCTCTGTTCCAAAAAGATACTCCATCAGATCCCTCCTGGGAGCTTCACATTCAAGGGTCTGACTTGTCAGACCCTTGGGAAAAAAATGGGCATGTTTGACCATATTTAACACAGAGTTTCCCAAAGTTTTGGATTAGAAAGCTCGACCGGGCTCAGTGGCTCACACCTGTAGTCTCAGCACTTTGGGAGGCCGAGGCAGGCAGATCACCTGAGGTTGGGAGTTCGAGACCAGCCTGACCAACATGGAGAAAGCCCGTCTCTATTAAAAATACAAAATTAGCCGAGCGTGGTGGCGCATGCCTGTAATCCCAGCTACTTGGGAGGCTGAAGCAGGAGAATTGCTTGAATCTGGGAGGCAGAGGTGGCGGTGAGCCGAGATTGAGCCATCGCACTTCAGCCTGGGCAACAAGAGCGAAACTGCGTCTCAAAAAAAAAAAAAAGCTCTTCTGTGGGTTTCCTTTCCCCGTCTGTTTCTGGATCTTTTTCCTGTCTCACTGGCTTTTCCTTTGTCTCAGGTTGTCTCTATTTGTCTCTGTTCTATTTCTATCTTTTCTTTTCCTTGAATCTTTGTCTACATCTCTGTCTTTTGGGGCCTGTCTTGGTTGCTGTTCTCTCTGTCCATCCCTTTCTCTTCATCTTTCCCAGATCTCTTCTGGACCCTCAAAAGGGAAGAGGGTCCAGGGAGCTGAACGCTGGGTCCCCAGCCCTGGATGCTCCGATCCCGTGGTCTCTGGGAGGGGCTGGAGCAAACCCCAGCCCTCCAGGCAGACGTGGTTCTGTGGGAGGGAGGCTGGGGCCTTGGCAGATGAGTAACCGGGACAGGGTGCTCTGCAGCGCCGAATCCGGGTCCTGGAAGAGCAGCTCAAGTCACTGGGGGAGCAGATGGCAGCCGAGAGCCGGGGGCTGAGCCGGAAGAAGGAGGAGGCCCTTCAGGCCCTGTCACAGGTGAGCTCCCTGGCACCTGCCCTACCATCCTCACTTCCCCTTGGGGCACCCCACCACCTCCCCGCACCCCGGATGTCTCCTGACATTAGGGAAAGCAGCTAGGACAGCCCATTCTGACTTTGACACGTAGCTGTCCATATCTTCTGGTAGGAACGGAGCCGGCTGCTCGAGCTCAATTGCCTTCAGGGAACACCTGGCGGGGACTTCTCTGAGCCCAACCCAGCCCTCACTAAGGTATGGGGATTTTGTATGCCTCTCGGTCCCTCCTCCCTCAGACTGGAAAGTCCAGGCCCCAGCCCCTCCTCCCTCAGACCCAGGAGTCCAGACCCCCAGCCCCTCCTCCCTCAGACCCAGGAGTCCAGACCCCCAGCCCCTCCTCCCTCAGGCATGGTGATGTGAGGCTGGAATATTGCATACTGGAGAATTGCATTGAACCTGAGAGGCAGATAAGGTTGCAGTGACCGAGATTAGGCCACTGTACTCCAGCCCACTGGGTGCAGATAGTGGGACTCTCTGTCTCAAAAACAAAATAAAAAAAAAAAAAAAAAAAATAATAAAAAAATCCCTACCTAAAATGCTGTCGAAAATCTGCAAACTCTTTGGTAAGTGCCTACTCATTGCCTCCAAGCACATACATGCACATTGGAGCAGTTTGTTGGTTTCTATGTGTTTTAGTGTTATCAGATGCTCAACTCCAACACTTATCTCAAAATCTGAAAGAAAATCCCAAATATCTGAAACCGTCTGGTTGGGGGTCCCAAGTATTTGCGAGAAGGGATATTCAACCCTGTCCTTTTGAAAAAGATGTGTATATAGGCTTTACTAGTTGACTTTTCTTTTTTAAAGGAATGAAATCATGTGTTTGACCAGTATTTGGTATATATCTGGTAAATCCCTGGGTACCATATGACTGAATTATATCATGCATTAGAATGCATTAATAAGTCAGTGGGTTATTGTTGGTGGTTCCCATCTCAAGTATTTATCCACTTCTGATATGTTGAGACATTTCAGTCTCTTCTAGCATTTT